TCCGTTTCATTCCTTAGTCTCTGTAATGAAAAAATGAAAACTGCGACGAAAGTTGCAGTGCTATGAAAAACTCAATGGTTTCTCGGCGCAGAGTTTCATTCCTTAATGTTAATTAGGAGCAGAGATATGATTTTTTAATTAGCGGGTGAGTTGTCGGGAGTCACTGCGCCGAGAAACCATTAAGTTTTTCATAGCGCCGCGACTTTCGTCGCAGTTTTTATTTTTTTATTACAGAGATTAAGGAATGAAACGGGGGTTGAACGATGGGGAATTTAAACTTCCATCGAACAGCATTAGTTTCATTCGTTAATATTAATTAGGAGAGAAGAGACGATTTTTTAATTAGCGGGCGAATTAATGGGGAAGCACCCTGCGCCGAGAAATCATTGAGTTTTTCATAGCGCCGCAACTTTCGTGGCAGTTTTCATTTTTTCATTACAGAGATTAAGGAATGAAACGGGGGTTGAAGGATGGGGAATTTAATTCTCCATCGAACAGCATTGGTTTCATTCCTTAATGTTAATTAGGAGCAGAGATACGATTTTTTAATTAGCGGGCGAGTTGTCGGGAGTCACTGCGCCGAGAAACCATTGAGTTTTTCATAGCGCCGCGACTTTCGTCGCAGTTTTTATTTTTTTATTACAGAGATTAAGGAATGAAACGGGGGTTGAAGGATGGGGAATTTAATTCTCCATCGAACAGCATTGGTTTCATTCCTTAATGTTAATTAGGAGCAGAGATACGATTTTTTAATTAGCGGGCGAGTTGTCGGGAGTCACTGCGCCGAGAAACCATTAGGTTTTTCATAGCGCCGCGACTTTCGTCGCAGTTTTTATTTTTTTATTACAGAGATTAAGAGATGAAACGGGGGTTGATGGATGGGGAATTTAATTCTCCATCGAACAGCATTGGTTTCATTCCTTAATGTTAATTAGGAGGGGAGATACGATTTTTGAATTAGCGGGCGAATTATTGGGGAGTCACTCTGCGCCGAGAAAACATTGGGTTTCTTATAGCGCCGTGACTTTCGTCGCAATATTAATTTTTTTATTGCAGAGATTAAGGGATGAAACGGGGGTTGATGGATGGGGAATTTAATTCTCCATTGAACAGTCTTTGTTTCATCCCTTAATATTAATTAGTCGGCGAATAAATCAACTGAAAAACATAAAGTAAACATTGAGTACAAG